GTGAATTCTTTATTTCTGTAATTATCCACTTAGTATTTTGGCTGCAAATAATACTGTATTATTTTGTATTTTGTGAAGCAAGAAAAATTGAAATAATTTATCTTGACATGTACAAAATGTCACTTTGTTAGGGATCTTACTTTTTATTCCTGTCACTAATAGTCTGCTTCAGATTTAAACCTCAGTTGGTCTCCATGCTGTTTCGTTTATACAACCTCTCTTAAGTCAGGGTTCTCCCAGAAAAGCTAGCAGAGGGAAAGGGAGGGGCAGATGGGAAGGAATCTGAAGAACGAGAGAAAGAGGGGAAAGATTGGGATTTACACAGAAGAACTGGTTCATGTGATTGTGACACAAGTCCCAAGTCTACAGAGCAGGCTACTAGAAACTGATACAGAATGGGTGCTGCAGTTTGAATTTGAAGATTGCAGAAGCAGAGCAGGCTACTAGAAACTGATACAGAATGGGTGCTGCAGTTTGAATTTGAAGATTGCAGAAGCAGAGCAGGCTACTAGAAACTGATACAGAATGGGTGCTGCAGTTTGAATTTGAAGATTGCAGAAGCAGAGCAGGCTACTAGAAACTGATACAGAATGGGTGCTGCAGTTTGAATTTGAAGATTGCAGAAGCAGAGCAGGCTACTAGAAACTGATACAGAATGGGTGCTGCAGTTTGAATTTGAAGATTGCAGAAGCAGAGCAGGCTACTAGAAACTGATACAGAATGGGTGCTGCAGTTTGAATTTGAAGATTGCAGAAGCAGAGCAGGCTACTAGAAACTGATACAGAATGGGTGCTGCAGTTTGAATTTGAAGATTGCAGAAGCACAGGTGAATGTTTATCTCACACTCTGGAGACAGAATTCCTTCTCCTTGCATGGGGGTCAATCTTACCTCTTCAGCCTTTCAACTGATTGGGTAAGGCTCACATACACACTTGGTGGAGGTAATTGGTTTTACTCAAAATCTATTGGTTTAAATGCTAATCACATCTAAAAATACCTTCAGAGCAACATGAGGATTGGTGTTGGATTAAAGAACTGAGTTCTTCAATACAAGTTGATACATAAAATTAATCATGACAGTTTGTCACCTGGAACTTCTGTGTCAACTTCCTAGCTTACATCAGCCCCCAGTCCACCTCCAAAATTGTCAAAAGGGCCCTTGAAGAATAAAGCTTATTATGGGATGGTTTATTTTGTCCTAGGCAGCACAGGTAATTACTCCTTGCAGTAATACATTGCTTTCGTGCTTTCAAAAGTTGAGTTATGACAATTGAAAGCTCTGTGCAGGCTGACCCTTCCACTTTTGGAGCCTCGTGTCTTGGCATTGCCAAACTTCAATGTTTTCTAGATAATCACAAACTTAATTCTTCATGTGTGCTAACAATTTTCCTGCCTCTCTGGCTTTGCTTCATGAGACAGAAGCAACACGGATCAAAGTGAAATGTGACAAAGTTGTAGGTATAACGAAGAGGCTATGGCAGGAGAGGAGCAAATTTGAATAGTTAGACTATTTTGAGATCCAGAAAACCTTTATTATGGCTGGGAGATATGAAAAGGTGATATTTTGCAAAAATCTGGTAAAACAACTTGACTGCGATATGTGGAAGAGACTTGAAACTGAAGAAAGAGGTAGACAGGGTTGTACAGAGTGTAATCTTTATTGGGATTTATGGGTAGAATCACGGTAAAGGATGGCAAACAGACTGGTGGATCCTGTGACTTTGGTCGGATGAAAGGGGCTTATATAGTGATTAGGATACAAGTGACATCACTGAGCTGGAATGTTCCTGGCTTATCCTAAGCTAGTATCAAAGATGCTAGGCGTATTCCTGGTGCTGACAGTGCCAGGATCTAGTCATAAAGCTCCACATACCACTCTAATGGTTTGTTTGTTAGTAGCAGTCTGGGAGACTGTAGGGGAATGGGCCAAGGTTATTCTGGGGAAGTCAGGGCAGCTATAACTCAGAACGGCTGCAGCCCACTCAAGCTGGATTCCTGCAGATTTATAGTATTATGGTCTGAATTGTGGGGCTGGAGCTGCTTAGAGGTGGAGCCCTTGCCTGGTTTATGCAGGGCCCTGAGTTCGTTTCCAGCAAAACAAACACACACACATACACACATACACACACACAAATACATAAAACAAACTTGAATGTGAAGTGGATTGTGTCCTCCACAAATTCATATGTGAGGTCCTAACCCCTGTTGTATCAGAATACAAGTATGTCTGGCGGTAGTATTTTTTAGGGGTAATTACATGGGGAAGGTTCATATGGGCAGGCCCTAATCCAGTATCCCTGGAGTTCTCATAAGAAAGGAAGTTGGAACATAGACAGTTACAGAAGGGAGACCATGTGAAGACACCAGGAACGGCCTTCTGCAATCCACGGAAAGAGGCCTCTGATGACGCTAACCCTGTTAACACCTTGATCTAACACTCTGTGATTAAATAAATTCTTGTCTAATTCACACGGTCTGTAATGCATCGCTGTGGTGGTCCTTGAAAATTCAGCCAGAAGGAACAGAAAAAACCATGGGGAGCAGAGTGAGCTAAGGCTGAGAGGCAGCAGCAGTGCCGACTGCTTTGTGCCTGTGAATCGGGCACCTGAGCTACTCCTCGGTGACTGCTGACAAGTTGGCCCGTTTGCAGAATACATTGGAAATTTGCCTGGTATTCATACTAGCCATTTTCTAGAGGTTTCATTTGACATCTCAAGAGAGCGTTTAAGTACCATGGCATTGCTCCGTTTTAAATGTGTGGATCACTTGTTGACTGTGAGGGGAAATCTTCGCTCCTGGGCCTGAGAGGCTCTCAGATGATTGCCAGGGTCTCAGACTGCAAGAAGGGCATGAGGCCGAGGGTCTCTCGCTGCTTGGCTTTGAATTGTAGTGATAGATGCCTGGGGGCTGCAGAGACCGATGAGCTTTTGCCACCCTTTTTAGCTTAGGTTGGCTGAAGTGCCAGTATTTCAATAAATTTTTTTCATTTCTCTTCTTTTTAAAAGTTGACAATTGTAGAGCAGTTTTAGGTTTACAGAAAAATTGTGAAGCCAGCACAGAAAATTCCCATAGATTCCACACTCAACTTTTCCTATTAACATCTTGCATTGACAAAGTACATTTGTTACAATTAATGGACCGATACTGATACATTATTAAATCTGTATTTTATTTATGTAACCTTAATTTTTATCTAATGTCCTCCTTGGGTTTCAGGATCTTGTCCATGACATCACGTTACAGTTAGTGCTCCTGTCTACTCGGGTGCTCCTTGTCTGTGACTTTTTTTGGGCTTTCCTTGCTCCTGATGACCTCTTGAGTTTCTGAAGAGTAGTAGGTCTTTTGTAGAATTCTCCTCACTGAACTTCGTCAATTTTCCCCCCAAGATTAGGTTGTATTTATGGGTTATTGGGGGAAACAGAGGCAGAGTGCCCTTTTAATCTCCTGTCAACCTGACTAGTCTCTGTTGGTGTTGAGCTTGACCAGATGATGTTTTAGCTTTCTCTAACACAGTCTGTCTCCTTCCCGTGCTGTACTCTTTGAATTATGCATATGTTACCAGGCAGAGTATGAACTGAAGGAGTCAGGTCTTCAGGTTTTTAAAATACAAAATATGTGAGAAAGTACAAATGATACAGAATTGCAAGGAGTGGGGGAAAAAGTGCTGTGTTGTTAATTTTTAATTTTGATAAACTGCCTCGTAATCTGTGAGGAGTAAGAACAATGTTAAGTTTGACTTGTGATTTTTTGAATAAAAATAGTCAACCTTGGGCTTTGACCTTTTTTGTTGATTTACAAAAGCAGTGTTTTTATCTGTGCCACTGGTCTTCTGTGAAATTGCTTTGGCCAGTGAAGGAATGATTACAATGAGGCTATTATTATTAATTGAGAGATTGTAGAACATTGTTTTCTTAAAGGTGGTGCCTTGACAGTTGAATTTACTGGTTGGATACAGTACACAGGAATGTTTTACTGCCTGTCCTAGGTTACATTTTTGTCTTGAGGTTATATTTGTGTTCTTGCCTGAGGTTGTATTTATAGTCTTAATTTTATTATCTCCCTCTAGTGGTCAGTTTTATAATCTCAGATTCTGCTTGAATGAATTCAGTGGGGAAAAAATTCAAGTTTTTAGTAGTCTGAATGATATTTAAAAAAATATTTTCGTATAGATCCTAAAATACCTAGTGATTGAATTTTTCTGTTCTGTTGAATTGGAAAGTAAATTTTACATTGTTTTAAATTTTAAATTGTTTTAAAGTTGTAAGTATTTTACTTGATTAAAAGCTGTTATCAGGAAGACAGCATTGTGGGCAGAAAGTTTCAACTGGCTACTGTCATCTAGGAACCTCAGTCGCCATTTGATTCTTAATGGAGCAACTTAATTTGGCTTTCTGTGTTTATCAGTGCTGTAGGAGCAAGCGCATATTCCAGATAAACTTGAGAGCCGCAAAGCTTCGTGAGACTAGAAGTCAGGGACTCCTTTGGGCACTGTTTGTCTTTTCTTCACAGATAACCTTCCATCTCTAGTGCAGGAGGGAAATGACCTTATTTTAGGGATTCACAGCAGCATTCGTTATTTTCCTCTGGCTTTAAAAATGGAGCATTTTTAGTAGTATGATGTCCGTGGATATTTGTAAGAGTGGAAACAGGAGGCTTTGAGACTGACTGTGCATTTTCTGCTGAACGTAACCGATGTGAAGAACTTGTTTTTGTGGCCCTAGTCCTTTGGTATGCGTTCTGGTGTTGGTGTCCAGACCCGGCTGTGTGTGGTCCCGCTGAGATCTGGAGCCTCCCACTGAGCGACAAATAATCAGTACGAAATCTGTGAGGCCCTTGAGTCTAAACTTAGGAGGCAGGGATCCATGGCTTTCTGTTAGAAATAAAGAACTCCGAGGAAGTCTCTGCGTGCCTCTAACTCTCTTGTGCCTATGAGCCGTATAGACTGCAAGGCCCCGGTGATGCATTGCACTGAGTCCAGTGGTCTGTGTGTTTTCCCACAGCTGCACCTGATCCACTGGAACTCCACCCTGTTCGGCAGCGTGGATGAGGCTGTGGGGAAGCCTCACGGCATCGCCATCATCGCCCTGTTCGTGCAGGTAAGCGCTCTGCTGCGGTGTGGAATTGTTTAGAGATGCCTATTTTCTAAGGCATTTTTGTAAAACACTTTTGGTTCTCTCAATTTGAGTACTTAGAGGTGAAATTATATGCATACGCAGAGATCACTGGTAACTTAAAAATGGACAACTTGATCTCTGTAGTTCATGAAGGTTCAGCCTTATTTGTTAGCAGAAAATGGTTCATTTACTTATTAGAAATTTGCTTCAGAGAGGTATTCAGTGTCTTTGAAGAAATCATTTAGAAAATGCCTCCTGAAGGCAGAGTTCATTGTGTTTAAGAAAAATTTTTTCAGAAAATGTTTTTAGACTTTGGCTTACTGCAAAATCTAAGAAAAAATCATGAATATTATCATGTAGGGGATAACATTAGCTCTTTGTTGTTAATAATTTCCTTTCCAAGAAGATTTGAAATTCCTTACAGAAAACACGGATTAAAAAAAGACTGTCAAAGTCCATGGTAGATTTAACCAATATGAAACTTAGATTTGAGCTTGGGGCTAGGCAAAGAATATTACGAAAATTTAGTTGAACATACTAGAGTTGACTATATGCTTACAAAGATAAAAATTTCATCCCATTCTTAAGGTGAATGTTTAAAACGTGGTCTTATCATCTACTTGATGAGGTAAAGGATTTAAAGCTGAAAGATACTCTGGAAATTTTATCACTCCATCTCTGCCCTGTGGTCTTATAAAAGAGAAGGCAGAGACCAGAGAGGTCAGGTAATTGTTTGTAGGTACAGCAATATAATATTAGCACTCGAACCTGAAAACCAAAACTCCATCTCCCAGTGGTGTCTGACTACCTCTTCAGTGACGTTGGATTAGAACAGTAACATGAACCCGGTGGTCTTTTGTTAATTTTTCAAAAAGAGTTGGGCAGTGGGCTTCTTTGTAGCATTTGTATTGAAAATATTATTAATTGCACAATTGTATCTATAGCTATAAGGTGTTTGTTTTATTGATACAAGTGAAAGTAGCCATCTGGTTTTAGCCTCTTTAATATTTTAAAAGCAGAATCTACAAAGTATGACACATGCTACAGAATTTGAAAGCAAATCTTTAACATTTTTAAATGAGTCTTCTCCCTGTTAGTTTCATGGACGTGACCCTACATTTCTTCCGTTATAATTGTCTTAAGTAAATAGAATGGAATCAAAATATTGATGCAACGTTTTCAATTGTACATTTTGATTATCCCTAGTCTACTAGAGAAATCATTTTTAAAGATTACTTTTATAACCTGAAAAATTAACAGGTAATTAAATTTGAGAAGCTGTGGGGATAGGAGGCAATATTTCCATATTAAGAATAAAATAAAGTAAAAATAAATATGTAGACTGAAACATAGCAGGTTAGTTTCATCTTTGGAATTGAAAATCAGTATTTGTGGACCGGGTGAAACATAACTCACTGTTTCCACTTGCTGGTTCTTCATGTGTATCGGTGACCCAGACACTTAGTACCCAGCACTAAGAACCCAGCCTTGGATCTAGTGTCACTGCTTCAGGAACAGGCTGTGTCTGATAAGCATTTCCTCTGTGTTTGCTATGAGGAAGAACTCAGGTTATTCTGAGGAGACAGTAATACATGACAGAAACTGTGAGAAAAAACCGTTACAAAATGAAGAAGCTGTTAGATGAAGCCGGGAGGAGGGAGCCAAGCCCACTCCAGGGGCTGCTCTTGGGTCCGAGAGAGGCAGCTGGATGTGGACTGATCTTCCCAGAAGTCTGACTGGAGGGAGCAATGACAGAACTGGCAGGAACCAGTTGTGATTTTGAGACCTGAGATTTTGTGTTTTTAATCTGTGCAAGAAGAGCCAGTGTAAGCAGAGTTTACAAGTCTTGAAAAGAGAAGGATGGCTCGTATAGAGAAGTCCCAGAGGAAGATAAGAAAGCATGAGATACTGAGCTCATACAGATGGACTGCCTTGAGAGGAGAGCTCTGCCCTTTCTCTGGAATAGAGAGCCAGCAGGAAAGGTGTGCACAAAGTGAAGAAAGGCAGGAAATTAAGGGAGTTCACCTCAGATGACCTTCGGACCCCAGAGACATACATTTACAAAGCAAGGAAGACATGGATGTGTGGATGTGTGGTTGAGCTTGGTGTAGTCAGGAAGGAACGACGATGATAGACATGGCTGTCAGACAGGCAGATCCCCTGGAGGCTGGACGTCCAAATGTGCAGGACAGTGATCAGTGTGGATCGTTCTGGAGAGCAGTGGAACATTCTAACGTATTACAGTGTTGATCTATCCCAATGCAGATGATGTAGGAGAATAAACAGAATGAAGATTCCAGAAAGGTGGGCGTGATATTCTTTAGTCTAGCCAGGACAAGAAAAAAGACCAAGCCATTAGGGCTCCTGATGATGGGTAAAAGAAAAAAGAGCAACAGAGTAGAGAAGAGAGTTGCATAGTGAGGAAGAATGGTAAGAGAGAATGGTGTTTGCGAGTTGAAGTTTTCAAACTGAAAGCAAATTCAGGGAGGGTGTGGTCACAGGATTGGAACTGAAGAGGAGTAGAGCTAAAGGCTGTGGACTGAGAGGTGAAGACATTTAAGCCAGGAACAGGACAGGCCATCTACAAAGATGCTTAACCCTGTGGGATGACAGTAGGGGGTGATGCTTTGGAGCAGCTGAGTTAGTAAGTGACAAGGAGAGTCCACTCAGAGGACAGCCTGTGCATGTGGGCCAGCCTATCAGATGGCTGCATCTGTCATTCTCCCCTGGAGACTACCTGGTGTCTCCTGAATGGGCCTGAAAGAGATGTGGCCCGGGACAGATCTGCAGGGCTCTGCATAGACCGAAAGGTGGTGGGAGGGTCAGTGAAGTCATGTGATCATTCTGTGTTCTGGCAGCAGAGAGGAAAACAAAGCGAGAGTGAGTTAGAAGTAAAAAAAGTACAGTGGAACAGGGCTGAAATTCCAGAACTGGCCGGAGTGATTTGCATTTTTGGTAGTGGTGAAGGGTACCAGAGCTCAGCGGTAAGACATTAATGGGCTTCGTTATCTTGGTGGATTCTTGGCACCAACTTGTGTCTTTGCCTTGACTGCTGCTTGATTTCAGTAACTGGGTGTGAGGACCATCATCTACCCTTGAGTGTTGATAGTTATCGCCTCTTCAGGAAAGGAAGTGACAGATTCACTGTTCTGAGTTCTGTCTGACTCAGTCTTTCTTCAACAATCACTTTATTCTCCCTGTTGTGTAGACGAGGAGGAACGTAATGTGTAAGTAAACTTGCCCAGGATCACTCAGTTAAAAGTGGCAGAGTTGGGATGTGAATCCAGACTAGAATCCTGGCAACCTAATGCAGGGAGTTCTTTTCTAAACCTCTCTGTGATGTGGCCTTTCAGTGTTCAGATGTGAACTCTGTCTAGACAGTGGAATCTCCAGCAGGTGCACGAAATAGAAAAAGACCAAACTAAACTTTCAGGCTCCAAATGTGATCTTTCGGTTAAACTTCTAAGGCAAGAAGATTTCGTTTCTCCTTAAGTTGAGATCTCCAAAGAGATCCAGGCTTGTATTCTCACATGGGTACATTTGTAGTAGATTTTTTTTTTTTTTTTTTAACTTCAGAAGATTACGTTTTTGTTTTAGAGTCTATTTCAGGAATGGAAACATCCAGAAAATTGCAAAACTCCCAATTACAATGAACCAATTGGCCTATCTTACATTTTTCCTATCTTTTTTCCCCCGTGTGCTTCACAGCTGGATAAAATTGAGAAAACTGGAGAACCTGTGTATGCTGACGGTTGCTCTATCCCCTTGCATGAGGAGAGCAAAAGCTAAGAGCAGTAGTAATTATCTACTTCAAGTAATGGATGCTTTTACACTTTCCCATTGTCATGGGCCATTCGGAGTTGATTAAGAAGTGGGGATCGGATAGTAGTTAAGATTTAAAGCTCAAGAATGCTAAACAGAACAAATTTTCAAGTCTCAAGTTTCTTTGGAGAACTTTGTACTCTAAAAAATGTAATATTTTAAATTAAAAGGCTATGAAAGGCATACGTGGATGCATTGTGGCTTACAGTCCTTTCATGGTTTCCCATTCTGTTGGGAATACAACAGTACTCTCGAGTGGACCCCAGTGTTTGGCAAGGTTTTGCCTACTTACTCTTAGATCAGTACACTCTTTTCATCTTGACTTTCCGTCACTTCCCATGATACCATATTCTTATTTATTTAAGAATTAAAAGAGAGTTATGGGTTACTAGTCATACCAAAATGTGTAATAAGTAAAATAGGGAAAAGAATGTTCCAGTGGAAAGGAGAGCTAGGGAGGGGGAAAGGAAAGAAAGGAAAAGATGAGAAAAAAGGGAAAAATGGAAAGAAAGCTTTCATAAAGAAGGAGGAGAAGGATTGAAGGAAGGGCAGGAGGATAGAAAAAATGAAAGTATATCATGCACCCATCACATTCCCTATGATGAATGTGTACATTATGTATACTAATGTATTCCCATAAACTTAATTTAAAAATTATTACCTGTGATTTTTGAGAAATATCTTGATTTTGGTAACTTTAACATGTGAAATCAACATAATTTTGCTGAGTTAATAAAAAAATTTTAATTTAACCTTATTTATAACAACAATTTGTTAATGCCAGTGGCAAGACTACAAGATTGTGAACATGTCCTGAGTAGTTTTAATTAAAAAATATCCTTGATATTTTGATATACCAGTCCTTTATGGTTTGGTACGTAATATAAGGTATAGTGAGTACTATTCGTAAGGGGCAAGATTATTTTAGAATAGGTTCTTGGGTGTCATGGCTAATACTTTATTGTACTAACTGTTACAACTTTACCTTTATAGATATTGACCTGGCTGTCATCAGAAAGGTCATTTAATTTCCCAAGAAATACATTCAGGTGGTCTGGAACTTTGGCTCTGGTGGTCATTTTGAGTAAAAGCTAAGCATTAAAAATGCTGTTTGTGGCTGATGCTTTATGTTTCAGATAGGGAAGGAGCATGTTGGCCTCAAGGCTGTGACTGAGATCCTCCAGGATATCCAGTATAAGGTAAGTCAGTGTTGAAAACAGAAGCATATTTTGTGAGAGGTCCCTGAGACCACCTTCAGGCTTGATGACTCTCTAGAAGAATCTGCAGGACTCAGAAAAGCCACCATACTATGGTGGCTTACAGTTTTTCACAATCCAAGGTTACAGATCAAAAGTCAGCAGAAGGGAAAGGTGTGTGGCACTGCTTCTGGGGAAACCCAGAGTAAGCTTCCAGGTGCAGCAGGGTGTCGGGGGATGACCCGGTTCTCACATCAGTGCCCTGTCATGGTGCCTGTGAAATGTTGGCACCCAAGACTTGATGTGTGGAAATTCCATCTGAGATCATTCATGCCTGTGTGTTGTACCTGCCTAAATGCCTTCGGCTCCTCCTCCACAGTCTTTCAGGAGTGGGCACCCCTGAATCTCATCATCAGGATAAATCTGCCTGGTAAACCTGGTGCATCGTAGTTCAAGGACAGGCATACAACATCACCAAAAATACATCATGGCCCAAGGCCTCAGGGACAGAAAACACACTTATGGGGTAGAGTATTCCAGTGTTTTCTGGAGTTATTTTCTGAGAGTCAGCCAAGAGCTGTTCTTGAAAACAGATGGTATTTAGAATATCATTGTTTTGACCAGGCCAGGCCTGCAGAGTTTATCTGTCTGGCTCACTTATTGTGGCAAAATTTTGGAAACTAAACCAATACAATGTTGTGAGCCAAAGTATTTATGCTTAATGATAATAACAATAATAGGGAAAGTATACATAATTTTTAAGGTACTACCCCAGAGAAGGAGATTTAGATCTGTGTGATCCTGCAGTGATATGGCCTGTCATTGCTGAGAATCTGAGCTCTTATAAGTAGAACCTTCTGGGTCCATATGAAGTTGAACCTGTTAGTCCGAGGGTAGGTGAGTGGTTTTGTTCTCTGTAGAACATTCATATCTGAGTTTCTGATCTTCGTTTCTGGATGAGAATACCCAGAGTACGTACTAAGGATGAATTACTACATTCAGTGGCACAAAAGGACAAATTTGGGAGCCAGGTTATAAAGCTGAAGAGGGAAGAGCTGAAATCGAGGCTGGTGAGAGAAAATCATTTGGTAAGATTGCCCTCAGTCAGAGTTCGAGTGTGGTACACAGCTGTTCAGCTCAAGTCTTGGGTATGAGTGTGCTACAAGGAGAAAAACTGTTGATGCAGAAGGGATGCACACCAATCATAAATTCCACTTTGGAAATTCTAGGGGAAATGGAATTACAATTGTAAAGAAAATAGCCATGGGGCTGGGGATTTAGCTCAGCGGCATAAGCACCTGCCTTGCAAGCAGGCGGTCATGAGTTCCCTGGTACTGCTAAAAAAAAAAAAAATAGCCATGCTTAGAGTAGTAATTGTTGGAAACTAGCAATTTTGCTCTAATAAGGAAAACAGTATGATACAGCTATAAACCTAGGGTACTTGATAAGACTGTTCCAAAAAAGATTTCAGTCTAGATATTTAGTGCTAGAATTTATTTAAAAACTTGTAAGTTTTACATTAACGTGGAGTAAATTTTTTTTCGTTTTCAGGGGAAGTCCAAAACAATACCCTGTTTTAATCCTAACACTTTACTACCAGGTAAACATTTCTCTGATTGAGTTTTAACTACGGATATAATTGTACTTCTTTTTTCAGAATGTATAATTAGTAAAGTTTCTTTATAATTTATATTTTCTGTTGCAAGTATTAGTTTCAGAGTATTCTAAATAGTAAACTTTTTGTTTCCAATAAAGAAATACTTTGCTGCTAGGATTGTCATCTGTAAAAATTGTTCTTTCTAAAGTACCAGCATAATAAATAACTTGATATACCTCTAAGGTTGATTTTGTTTTGTTAACCTCTAGCGTGAAATAAACTTTATATACAGTTTTCTAAGAATTTATAGACTATTATTTGTTTAGATACTATTGTAATTGTGATTATGACAGGTAATAATTGTATATAAAATACATTGTGATTTGGAGTTCAAGGTAGTTTTTTATGGTTGTTGTTGTTGTTGTTGTTCTGGGAATCGAACTCAGGACCTTGCACTTGCCAGGCAGGCACTGTGCCGCTAAATTCCCAACCCTCGAGGTAGTTTTATATAAATTTTTTGTTCACATTCTCTGCCTAAATGATGTCCCGTTTCATATGCTTCAAACAAAAAGGAATAGGCTGATACATTGTATATTACCCTGTGTATATTTGCTTGTAAATCAGTTAATTTCTGTCGTATGCAAAACATTTACCCATTGTATTTAATCATGAAATCCTCTAGTGCAGAGCTAAATGATTGCATAAGATAATTTATTTTGTCTTATCATGTTATGATTTTCATATTTTGCTGAAGAAGAGGCAGCTAGAACCAAAAATGTTAAAAATATAGTCTTTGGCCTTGTGTAGTGGCTAAAGTTCTAGCGCTCCAGAAGCTGAGGCAAGAGAATTGACACAGTTTCAAGGCCAGCTTGGCTTATGCAGTCAGTTCAGGCCAGCCTGAATTACATAATAAAACCCTCCTGCCAAAAGTGTGTATGCGTGCGTGCATGTGTGTGTGTGTGTGCGCGCGCGCGCATGCGCGCGCTTTGAAGTCAGACTTCCTAGGTTCACACTGTGGCTCTGTGCTATCCTATGAGTGGACTTAGGCAGTTTGCTAACTTCTGTGTGATTCATTTTCCTCATCTATAAAAGGAAGTGAGTAATAACATCTACCTCATTAATTTGTGGTGATTAAATGAATTAATGTGTAATGTTCAAATGATACCTGGCAAGCAGTTCAATAAATATTAGGCATTAATCAGTGAGGCAAATCCTCTAGTAAAATAAAAACAAAACCACAAAAGATGAATATATTCTTACAAAGTAATTAAACTTCATAGATGTGCATAGGAGCCCATTGATAGAGATCACTTTAAGAGGACGAAGATTTGTACTATTTTTCACACATTTTTTTCCATGAGGAATAGTTTGAGAATAGTTAAGTGAAGCTGTAATGTAAACATGATATCCCTCTGAGAAGAGTCATTTGTACAGTTGTAATTTGGAAACCTGTGGGAGTCTCCCAGATTGCTGCTAATTAAATTGCCTTTCATCACACGTCCACATGGCTGCCCAGACCCTCTGCTTCGAGATTACTGGGTCTACGATGGCTCGCTCACTATCCCGCCCTGCAGTGAAGGGGTCACCTGGATACTGTTCCGCTACCCTCTGACCATATCCCAGCTACAGGTGAGTGTGCTCTTTCAGATCTTTCAGAGCGCAGTTCTGAGTTAAAGGTTAGATATTGTTTCTGTAGGAAGAAAATGTCTGTTTCTGTTTTGGTTCCCTTTCAAATGAAAGTTAAATGTCTTGAGCCAGTGGAAGCAATGGAAAGATCAGGATTGAACAAGCCCCAGTGCTCATTTATGATACGCAGTTTAAAGCTTAGATTTTACGGAGTAAGTGGAAGTCACGGAAACCACTAAACTGTCTGATGGTCTAAGTTACTCCTTCATGTAAGTTTTCCCAGGTATGGGAAAGATGGGTCTAGAAGGAAAGTGAGAATGCTGGTATTTCTCTAAGACACACAGGGCTCCCTAACAGTTCTGTGGTGGGCACAGAAATGCAGTGGAATGGGCAGTGGAGCTAGAAGACAGACCCTGGAGTGTTGAGGGCTGTGGTTTGGTTGTACGTGGCCACACCCTGAGGTTTGGGGCTTCGCACAGGCATTGTAAATGCTAAGGGAAGCTGGTGTGATGCGGCTGCCTGGTAGTTCCAGTCACTTGTGAGACTGAAGTGGGAGCCTTTGCATTCAGTGGGGACCAGTGTGGGCCATATAGGGAGGCAGTTTTGTCTCACACTGTTTGATTGTTTCCTATGCCTGGATCTTGTAAGCTGAACAACTACTCCTAAGATTACAATATGCAGTGTATTAACTAATGTTGAAGCTGGCAGTTGTATTTTAACTTCATGCTCAAGAAGTTAAAGGTCATTTATCTTAACTTCCGGAGCACATCAGCTAGTAGCTGTTACCATTGTGCCGTAATTTGGGAAGAAGTGATGTTGGCCACAGGGAAAAGGGTCCAGAGTCCCAGAGGCCAGAGAAGGCAGAGTGCGTCTGAAGAATGCACATAGTGTAAAGTGCTTGTCACGAGAGATGAGGTTGGGGAAGGAACAGGAGTCTGACTTGCCCCTGGGCCTGGTGCCATGCTGCACTGTGAAGGGTGAACTTTCTCCCAAAGAGGCAAAGAATTATTCCTGTCATCGCGGAGAGATATGTGACCAGGTTTCAACTGTAGCAGCGATGTGAAGATCCGAGTCCGAGATGAGGCTGTGAAATGAAGAAGAGAAGTGACTTTAGAAGTAGTAAAGAAGTAGAAGCAGAGTACACAGCTGCTAAGATAGGTGCGATTTCACAGGGGGACCTCCAGGTTACTCCCTAGATGTGTCACTCTAAAGTGTGATAGGAAATCAGTGAAGAGTCATGTTCATGGCTGTAGACATCCAAGAAGGATGTCGTCCACAGGTGGCGGGTGAGGCCAGAGGTGCAGAAGAGGAGATCTTTAGGGAGAGAAGAAGTAGGCTTGGAAATGGGAATGGCAGCTCTGTGGGTTGTAATGGTTCAGGACACTGCAAAGTGAAAAAGTGGGTGAGCATCTTGATGCTGAAGGAGAGACTCATTTCAAGGGGAGAAGAAAGGATCATGATACCAGATTTTCAAACGTTCAGTTAAAGGATGAAAAGTGTGAGTTTAACAGCAGAGACAGGTCTTAGACTTGAGATTCATGTTCAGTAGCTGAGTGTCAGAGGTAATATTTGTCAGCATTACTTTATCAAGGGGTACTTCTCTAGAAGAGATCAAATCTCTTATTGGAAAATGAGATTTCCTTTTATAACCACAACAGATTTTTCAATTCATTGAAAGTCAGTTAGGCATAACGTTATTGAGTCCTACAAATTATCTGATCCACCTAGAGTTTCACGAGGAATTGCTTGTCAGCATGGTAGTGGCAATGTTAATGTTGGAGTCTGTGGAGAATGTTTTGTGATGTCCTGTAGATATGATATAATATTCTGTCACCAAGTTGGCTGGTGACTAAGATTCAGAGAGAAAGCATTACTCCTTTGAGACTCTCTGGTTTCAAAGGGAATCTAGTTTTGTAGTCTTCCACTAGCCAGTATCCAACTTTAACTAAGTCACATTTCTTTTTTTTTTTTTTTTTTTTTGTCTTTTTCATTTTTATCGGTACCAGGGATTGAACTCACGACTGCCTGCTTGAAGGCAGGCGCTTATGCCGCTGAGCTAAATCCCCAGCCCCTAAGTCACATTTCTTGACTCTGGGGATATAAATAGTATCTTCCTTAAGGAAAGCCAAAGCCAAAGTAGTGTGTATTAGAAGGGAAAATCTCCACCATCCTTAAAAGAGATGACTTTCCAGTTATCTGTAATCTTTCAAAAATGGTTTAGGTGTCACCTGCATACAGCACCACTGCAGCATCTTTGCATAGGGCAGCAGTGTTAAATTCAGACACATGCATGCACAAAAGTGCATGGTTTTGTAGATTAAAATGCAATTTAGAGTGATTTAGAAAAATATATGCTCTTAGGAGAGTGTAAGTCAGTCTGCTCTTGTTCTGAAGGCTTCAGTTGGTGCTGTTCGTATAAGTTCAGCAAAAATAGAAGCGATCCAGAGAGAGCAGTAAAAAAAAAAAAGGTACTAATAAAAATGATGGGACCCAAAGGGAGCGGACACAATGCTAGAATCTTTCTATATCAAGAAAAATCAAGAGGCATAGTATTATCCCACTTACAAAGGGGAAAGAGAAAGGGAAGGGGAGGATTGGTGCACAAAATAACTAAAGGAATAGTGAGTGGCAAGTGGAGTCTCCACAGAGCTGAGTAAATTGAGAAAATAGAAAACTTTGGATTGAGTTTAAGAAAAATCTGTTTTCTTCTATATTATAGGAGTGGCAGATGTAATCATGCTGCTGGATTATTATGGACTCTTGAAATGCGTTACCTAACATAGAATGAGTGTCGGCAGTAGCAACATTGAAGAAAATGTTCTAACCACAATTCTTTCTTACTAAACGAACAGAGTCTTGGATTTAAGCAGTACTAGAGTTCCATGGCAGTACACTTAGGTCCGTGGTGGAGCGCTTGTATTCTCCTGAGTGCTGAGAACTCTAGAATATGGGACTGGGAACTGTGGTTAGTTACACTTCTCATATTCTTCCAGGTTAGAATACTCTATGCTAGGGTGGAAAAGACGATTGCATAATTTGAATGAGTGCAATTTTCTTTTTAAATTCTATGCATAAATAGCTTTCAGGTAAATAGTGGTCAGAGTACTAGGAAGTCAGCAATAAAATTTTTTTCAATTGGATTTTTGCTTAAAAATAAGATTTTTTAAGAACAGTAGAAAAATACCAAGCTCCATCAAGTCTAACAACAGAAATTTTCAGACATGTTTTAATTTCACACTCATTAAAATGTGAACAAATATCAATCCTAGAAATTTATAGAACATGTTATGATACAGTGGCATCTGAACAAATATGTGTATACATACATACCCAGAGATGAAATGATCATTTTTTACTTTCCTTCTCCTACCTCCTCCCCATCTTTTTCTGTATTTCTTTTTTGCTTTTGTTTCAGTTTCTTGTTTTTCCACATGTTCATATTAACTGTCTCTGACTTTTCTCTTTCAATTTAAAGTGACACCAGTGAAACGAGAGTATCAATATGTATAGTATGTTTCCATATGGGAACAGAGGTCTCTTAGAATCCTGAAAGCTGGTTAAAGTTTTTCCTTCTCAGTCTGGCCTTCTCCTCGTCTCCTCCCCATCTCATATTCGGTCTCCTCCCCATCTCATTGCGGGTTGAACAGTGAAACTTTTCCTAGACCTGACAGTCTGAGTTAGCATGGTGTGTGTTGGGCCTGGATTCCAAGAATCTAGTAATGTGTCGTTGCCATAGACGTTGTCATCTTCCTGTTCCTCTTCCCTTCCTTATCTTCTCTTCCTCCTCTGCTGCTTCTTCTTTCCCTCCTCCTGTTCTCTCTTCTTCCTCTTCTTCTTCTTTTCCTCCTCCTCCTCCCATTCCTTCTTTATTCTTCTGTGTTTTTGGTGCTGAAGAACCCACCCAGGGCTTTGCGCATGTTAATCATCTGCTGTATCACTGAGCTACATCTCCAGGACTGAGAGCCAAGGAAGTTATCTGAGTCACTTTTCATGACGGAAACAGACTACTGGACACAAGCAAAGAGGAAAAGTTTATTTTGGTCCACAGTTGCAGAGGACTCAGCCTATGGTTAGCTGGCTCCAAGCAAGGCAGCATGGCAGAGGTGCATAGCAGAGGAGAAACAATCCATGTAATGGCAGCAAGCACCAGAGAGTCATCAAGGAAGGAAGGAGGGAGATGAATCTTCTCAGGTCAGGGCCCTGTGACCCACCTCCTCCAAGCAGGCCTCACTCCCCAACATCACAGGTAGCTGCAAACTGATCAGTTTGCATAATCCATTGATGATTATCATTCCCCCATGATCCAGTCACCTCCTGACAGCCCCAGCTGTGAATACGTGAGGCTTTTCAGGGACACACAGATGCAAGCCATAACAGAAGTTTTATCACTCAGAACCACAGAAAATTTCTAAAGGCTCTCTGTGCTCCATTTGGGATTGAAGAGGCTGTTGTTCTAAAGATTAAGTTGCCATAGAGGAACAGTATGGTCATATTTGAAAATTATTTCAGATGATTTGAAATGTTGGTTGCAGATTTTTATCTGTTTCCATGGCTGTGATGTGAAGATTTTTTTCCCCAAAATCTAAGCATTGCCAACATGATAGTATTAAGAGATGGCATCTTGAAGGGGTAGTTAGGGTAGGAGGCTCTTTGTTGTTTAGTAAAATTAAGGCCCTTGTAAAAGAAGTTTCCAACATACAGCAGACTTTCTTGTGTACCCTCTACCTTCTGCCATGTGAAGATCCATGCCAGACACCAACCTCGCACTCTTTGAATCCCCGGAATCTAGATCCCTGTGAGAAACTGGGCTTCTTTTCTTCATAAATTACCAAGTTCCAGGTGTTCTGGTATGATTAAACATGAGTGTGCCTCAGAACCCTGGAGGGTCTGGGGTTAGAACCTAGATTGCTGGGCTCTCCCCCTGGAGATGCTGACTCTCTGGGTGTGGAGTGGCAGCTGGCAAACTTCACTTCTGTTCTGGGGGCACACTTGGAGAGCTGCTTCATGTTTCACACCTCCTTTTATCATCCCCACCATAATTTTGATCTGTGCTGTAATCTCAGGATATTAAGGTTAAAGATGACCATGAAAGGTAGCTCTGGACCAGCCCTGTTCAATGCTAATGTCGTGTAATGTCGTGTGTAAAGCTGAATTTCTTAGATTTCATAATGCAAAAATAAGAAAGACGGTAACAATTTTTCAAATAGTGTATTTAGCCCAGTTTATGTTTAATACTGTCATTTTAAATGTAATCAGTGTAAAAATCGTTCATGAGATTTTTACATTCTTATGTTCCTACTAAGCCTTTGGCTCTAGAGTGTGTTCTATACCTCAAGATGTCTTAGATTGTACTAGCCACACTGCTAGAACTCTTGTACTGGAAAACTCAAAGAGACAGTTTTCTCTCCTGGGAGACTCCTCTCAAAACGTGCTGCTTTTATGGATTTGTAGAACTTTGTGTGGTAAGAACAGTGTACACCTGTAAAAACAGTGCTGCCATCAAAGTTACAGTCTATTACCTTCCAAAGTTTTCTTCCTTACTTATTATTACAAGTATTTTGATAAGAATACTTTAGAGAAGACATATCCCTTAGCACTTTTAAGTACACAATCCAGTATCCTTAGCTGTCGGTACTATGCTGTGTAATGTAACTGTAGAATCTGTTTATATTGCAAAACTGAAACTGAACATTTATCTCATTTCCACTCCCCAGCTCCTAGCAACCACTGCTTCTGTGAATTTGAATATTTCAGAATATAAATGAGATCACACAGTATTTGTCTTCCTATATTTGGCTTTTTTCCATTTTTTGAGTATAGAGCCAGAGGAACTGAAGTCAGTATTTTGAAGAGAGATCCCCGCCCCCCATGTTCACTGCCTAGCATGGAAATACGTGGAAATACCTAAATGTCCACAGACAGACGAATAAATAGGTGACACTAATTTTTCTGCTCTGTATTTCTCTTAACATGATAGCATACGATAGATACTGCAAGGAAGTCCGTTAGAAGATGGTTCTAAGAATTGAAGATGGTTCTAAGAATTTGACAATTCCTATTAAGTTAATTTTCAGCATTTTGCAAGCTATGGAAATTAGCCCTTTGGGGACATTCATAAAGTAAGCAGTTTTAAAACTGAATTTTAGTGAATCATCTGATTTATGAGTGAGTAAAGATTGAATAAATAAATAAATAAGTAAGTAAATGTCTTAGCCCAGTTGGGGCACATCTCTAACTTGGAGATCGGTGACTGTTTAACTCAGTTCCTTCAGAAGATGAGGATTGTGCCCTGGGGTGTTGGATCTCTGTCTAAGTCCTAACTGTAGTTAAGGAGAGTAACTTTACAAGTCTATGAAATCACATGTTAAGATGTATGTAATAATGGAGGTGTCTGTAATGTCCTGAAATCTGAATCTTTTGAAGACTTCTACCCTGAATCTGATTTGTCTGTTTATCACAGCCTCCTGTTTCAGAGTGGACTCATTCAATATGTGCTTGAAATCATTTGAAGCGATTAAAGGGTTTCGATGGGTGATCGCTTCAGAAGAACTTGGATTTCAGGAATACACATTTCCTCCTTCATTTTGTTAGTGTTTGAAGTCTGCAGAGCGCTGCTGTGATCAGACGAAAGTGTTTCTTGTGAAATAGTTTTCTCAGAGAGCTCAGCTTTCTCAGTGATTTTGAGGCTGGCTGTTGGTTTACGTCCTGTCTTCCAAAGCTTATTTTCTGTGTGCTTCAGGTTGAGGCCGAGGGCTTGCAGGATATGTCTTCAGTTTAGAATCAGAAATACAAAATTAACCTAGCTTCAAAGTCAATAAAAATGCAATAGTTCTAAAAGTACATTTAGAAAGTTGGGCTTCTTGTCTGACTGTTCCTCTGCATCCCTGCCTCTGCTCTGCTTCACATCTGACGGCAGGTGTTACTTGTGGTCGTGTGTAAGGTGAGTGTGAAGGAGGTGGCTGTAAACTTTCTCTGTGAGGTGGTGCACTAGCAATTGTAGCTCAGTGTTTGTCTCACCTGCTAAAGTAAGTTGCGTGAATGGATTGCTAGTATTTATTGAACAGTCCTATATGCTTGGAACTACACCAAATGATTCTCATGAATATTCTCACTTTCTACACCATCTTTGTGAATGTTTTTAACAGCATCTCTGTTTCACACACATGGAAACAGGTCTAAAGAAATAATGTCATTTAGTCCTTTGGGTCTCAGATACAGAGCCAGGACAGAAACTGGCATGGATACAAAGCCCCCGATTTCACCATCATGTTCTTTTTGAAATAGCATAGGATACTCATGCTCCATCATACAGGTAGGGAAAATTTCAAGGTGAAAACATACAATAACAAGGAATTCTCATGAAGCCTGTATTCTAGATATTTTCCAGCTGATGCAAGCAATAATTGCTCCCCATAGTCCCGACTAAGAAAGTCTAGTGAAGAGGCATCTGTAGATTAAACAGTTCTTTGGTGTCTGACTTGCATTGCTATACAGGTGCAGCATGTAGCATATTAAAAAACAAGACAATCTCAGCTGGATCAGATTTATCTTGTTTAGGGAAATCAATCCGTATTTGGACATACACAAAAATAAATGATTAAAGATAAGCTTTGTAAAGTAGCTTCTAATTCAACAAACCATTTAATTTTTCCTCACTTCTTTGTACTGACATAATGTAAATGTATTAAATTAGAATTTTGTTGCATTTAACTCTTTGGGAGTCAGGAAACTTGCCTTAGAAAAACGCATGTTTTGATTTTGCTTTCCACATCGCGATTTCATGGTCCCCCTAAAATCTAGACTTTCATTGAAACTCCTGAGTTAGCTAAGTTATTGTTTTTATTTTATGAAGGAAAGAGTTCTTCAACTGTGTTGTATTATGGTCTTTTATGGATGTAATCTATTTCCACGTAGACAGTGAACTTCTGGTGGGTTAATGATGTTTAAGTCACTTTTGCTCAGTACCCTGTTATGTAACAAGCCACAGCCTGTTCTGATTTGACTAGAATTTCTAAAGCAGTGACTGGAGTTGGCCCATAAGCAGGTGGCCTTACAGTTGTCAACCTTCTTTCACCGGCTGATGGGGAGATGCTCTGCATCTTGCTGGCCTCAGTTTCCCCCTTTTGTGTGAAGAATGAAGAAGGACTATTTCTTGTGATTGTATAACACTTTAATGAAATAACAGATGATCCCTGTGGGTAAATGGACTAATAAATTAGTTGGACTGAGTCTGAAGAATGCTGATGGCATATTTTATTTGTTGCTTAAATACACAAGTCATGAAGAGCAGTCTAAAGATTCTAGAGGCTCAGTTTTCTTTGGGAAGTCAGTGAAATTTGAGTACAGCTGATGCAAGTTTGTCAGGATTCTGGAAACCGCCTTGTGTAGATAGTGATGGGAAGCCACAGGATTGGAAAGGCAACCAGGGAAAGAGGGATAAACCTAAAATTGCTGTAGTTAAGAGAGGAAATCGGACTTAAGCATTTGGAAAATCAGTGCTTTGGACCTGTGTTCTCCCAAGGGCTGTCTAAGTGATAAAGTCTTGATGGAGGAATGCTGCATAAACATATCTAACATCGAATCAGTGTTAACATCACACTATCAGAATATGTTAATTAAAAACTTACTGGACAAGCATTTAAAAATATTCATTTGCTCACTCTTTATTTTTGTGTTGTAGAAGAACACATAACTTTTCTGGGATGTATGAATCATTTTCACATTATCAAATCCTGTAGATTTCTGTGCCTCCTGAAATGGTAGGGATTTCTTGCTCTCTAACTCTGTTACTTCTGTTAAAGGGCCTTGTCTGAGGTCTTAGGTTTCAAAAAATTAAATCTGTTTTTTTCTTGTCAAAGCTTAATTTTAGTTTTCTTTCTTATATCATTGTAATTTACGTGTATGTTAAGTCATTTATAAAATTCAAATCTTTAATGTCTCATATATAATGTGTTTTGTTCTGTTTTTGTTTTCAGATAGAAGAATTTCGAAGGCTGAGGACACATGTTAAAGGGGCAGAACTCGTGGAAGGCTGTGATGGGATATTGGGAGACAATTTCCGGCCCACTCAACCGCTGAGTGACAGGGTCATTAGAGCGGCATTCCAGTAGGCACAGAGAGCAGTAGCACGACCATCTGCTTGGGGTAGGTATAGAGTAAGTAAGGGAAACAAGGGACACAGTTAACTACATGAGCATCCCTGTGCTACTCCGATGGCCAAACTACCAATTTTCAAATAAAAGAAGTGTGGCTTGTTTTTAACAAAGTTTATGACATATTCATAAATTCCATTAATCACAAGACAGGTGGTTATTTTAACTTTGTGCAATGTTTAAAAAAATCCATTTAAAATATTTTCCCACTGGAGCACTCTGTAAGTCTGTTTTGCTTTAATACTGGATTTCTTTAACAAAGGGAACTGACTTAGAGAAACAGGAATGTGCAAGGGCCTTGTGAGCAGTTTACTGTGCTGCCCTTCAAACTGCAGCAGTCACCGTCTGATGAGCCCAGGACACCCAGGACGAGGCGAGAGGAGTGTGTGAGGTCCATGCTGAACCTCTTGTCTAATGCAAATCTCATTGTCTTATTTATCGGGGAAGTAGGGCTGATCTCGCATGAACTGAACTATGGAAGTGCTGTTTGTTTGATGAATGGAGCAGCACTTAATAATTATCTGAACAGACTACCTTATTTTATCGATTGAAACATAATCTGTAGAGTTCAATATGTTGATTTCAATATATGTAGTCTTTATTCTTCAGGAACTAATAAAATGAAACATTGTAAACATAGAAAAGACCAAATATACAGAGAAGACTGTGTACTCAGTTATTACTTTTCTTTGTAAGTTGCCCATGCATGCCTAGGGCAAGGTGCATTCCATAACAGCTTGCTGGCTGTGGAAGACAGCATCCGCTGGAATGGTGCCTGGGGAAGTGGGACAGAGCTCTGGCCATTTGATGAACTGTTGAGGCAGTGGACCCCCCTGTGATGTGGGTGGTACTGTGGACCAGGAGGTTACAGACAGAAGACTCTTGCCATAAGGAGATCACAGTCCATGAACTAGGCAGTAGGCTTGGGAATTTTAAAAGATGATCATCTGGACCTTGTGTTCCCAATCTACTTTTCTTGCTTATAGTAGCATGTTCTTACTATACAGGATTGTAGCCAAACTATCTTTTTATCGTCTGAATGTAATTTGCTTCCCCATATTGCCCATGCTGCCTTTTGTCTATTGAAATTCTAGCTGTCCCGTGGCCCAGGTCAAGTACCCTCTCAGCATAGATCCTACAATCATCTCTTTAACTATGACACTTATTGTATATTCTTTCTTCCATGTAGCTATTCATGTATTTATTTTCCTACAATATTCCAAAGATATGAAGGGTTAAAGTCTTTTTATTTTACTCTGAATCCACCATACCATTTGCTATGCTTTGCATCTCTTTAGGCAAATTAGAAGTTTCTTAGAACCATGGAAATTATACATCAGCCAGTTGCATTCCCATTCTTTATTCTTATTTTCTCCATTAGACAGTTAAGTTCATTTTCTGCTCCTCCCAACTTTGGAGACGGTGAGAATCAGCCAAATTCACTGTTAGTAGAAATAAGAAAATTTCACTAGTTAATATGTGATTGAAAAGGGAGACATTCAAGAATGCTTTAGACTAAATCTTACAGCACATGAGCTGAAGAGCTAAAATAATATAAATCAACAGTCATTACCGAGCACCATTTCGGGTACTCAGAGCTGATGGTCTGGGGTAGGGAGTCTTACAGTGGAAAAATAAACATTCAAAGCATGCAGTTGTAAGTTGTAAATTTCATCAATGGAAGAATGAAGCAATGTGTGGAAGGAGCTTTCAGACAGGAGGCATATTTTTATCCAAAGCCTTGAGGAGATGAGCCTTGTGGAGAAGTAAGAATTTGATGCCCATAGGTATCTGAACAAAAGCTCCATTGATTTGCAGTACAGAAATCAAAGGGGAAAAGTAGCAAATCCCAGAAATTATAAGGCCTTGTCGACTGGGTTAAGGCATCTGTTTTGTTATTGATGCATTATAAATCTTTAAAAAGACTTTATAGTTAGTGGAGTGACCTGATCTTGTGTGTGTGTGTGTGTGTGTGTGTGTGTGTGTGTGTGTGTGTATGTGTATGTATGTATGTGTGTGTATGTGTGTTTAAGTAGTTCATCCTAGCTGGAAAATGAATGGATTGCATTACAGTGAGCTAAGGTGGGAGTGGGAAGTTACTGCTTTTTCTGATAGTTATAGAGGCTCAGATCATAGTATAAGCCAGTAGAGATGGAAACAAAGTAATGTGTAGGAAACAGAAATTGCAGGGTTACCTAGTGGTGAATTGGGAAAGGGTAGAAGAAGATAGAAAGAAGATAATGGCTGGGGTCTAGCGAGTAAGAAACTGTGGATACAACACTTTTGAAAACTAAGGATAGATCCTATTGGGGATAGAAAGATAAAAAGCTGAGTTGGAAGACATGTAGAGACAGAGAAAGAGAGAGTGTCACAAGAGAGTCTGAGATGAAATCCGAAGTATTTAGTGCAGAGACTGAATACGTATATGTATGCATTATATGTACTGTATATTATATGATATTTATGGATTTACCATTTGAACGATAGAACAACCTTGTTCTGTGTTCATAGAATCTAACCCAAGACTTTGTAGAGAAATTAGCCAGGGACACACAGAAGGTTATTGCCCAAGTAATGTTCCTGAGCAGCAAAGTTGGAAACTTCCATGTGGCAGAGCCCTTTCTCTTAGCTATTGTGTGGGCAGAGGTCAGAGAATGTCCCCATACGAGGGGTCTGGGCAGGACAGTAGTGAAGGACACACTGCATCAGGCTGAAGGTAAGAGAAGGGAGTCTCTGGAGATACCATGTCCTCGCCACATTGATAATTAGGTTGAGGGCTGCAGCCCGAGAGAGTGGGATGGGGGAGCCTATTTTAGTTTTTACTTTTTGAAACAAAAGGAATACCAGACTTGCCTGTATGGAGTGGGAAAAGAGCACGCAGCTGGGGGAGAGAGCGTGTTTTAGAGGAGCTAATCCTACCAGCGAATCTCAAAAATCTCACGGAGATGAGACCCTAGCACACATGGAAACTGACTGTTAAGAGAACAGACACTCTCTGTGCTGGAGCAGGAAGGAAAGAGGAGGTGGTGGGTTACAGATGAGTGTGTGCATGACTGGCTTTATTTTTCAGTGCAGAGGGAAGGAAGGGTCACAGGAGGGCTCTGCTCAGAGAGCTACAGGGAGGTGTGAAGAGGCTTGGTGAAAATGAATGTGAATTTCCCCAGTCGAGGGTTCAAGTTCGCTCTGTGGGCATCATTAATTCTAAATAAATTTAGTGTTTCATCCATGTCTAGTTCTAGACCAGAGTTGCCTCTCTCTGACCAAATAGCCATCATTATTTTAACCTCTGTTGTACACACACACATACACACACACACTTAAATATTGTTTGAGAGTGTGTGTATTTCAATACTTCATTATCTGACAGAAGAATATATTTTAAAAATTTACAGAGTTTAAAAAAGAGGATGGATTTATGTACTGCTGTTTGTGGCTGAGATTACCTAGAGGGAATAATTTTTCTTCAGAGTTTTAAAGAGTGATGTAGGAATTCTTTCTAGGGTAACTCTGATTCTGATTTCATCCTTTTATGAATACATTTTTTATCCTTTTATCTTGAAATTTGTATTACAAATTTAGTCATGGTTATACATAAAAAATAAATTGGGAAATCAGACTTATGGATGTGTGCTTTTTATTTGATATTTAATAATGCCCTAAGGCAGGTAATTCAAATTTTTATTAAAGTGAAATGATTTGACAGCCAGACTTTGAATTTAATGCATAAATGTTTCATTTAAGCTCCTGGAACTAAAAAGGAAAAAAAAATGTCATGGTAATTGTTCTCTATAAAATGTTTAAAATAACTCAGATTTATTTTAGCTATCTTTTACTGAAATAACTTTAGTTTTTGGACTTAAAAGATAGTTTTTTTTGCATGACATGTCTTGATATCTGGAGAGCTTTGATAACGAAGATTTATAATTCTCATGAATAATCCTCAGATTTTATTATCATTTAAGAAGTATGAACTATGGTTTTGAACTCACTTAAAGAATTATTGTGTAATTTACTAAGGTGCTGGGAATTCTTTAGTTTAGCAGTGGTAGTTTAAATTTTGAGTCAGTTGCTATCAAATAACCCTTTATAGAATTTTGTAAGATGCAGAAAAACAAAATCTTAATAATAACAAATAATATGATCAAACTTTACATATTATTTTGGTATGATATTCATACAGATCCTCTGAGAAAATGATTATTTATTATTGATTTCATTACGTATTAGACTGTTTTAAAGGTTATTCAAGAATGTTTTCACCTGTGACTCAAGTATTGTTAGGCTGTGAACAAGTTTACCGTTGACTGTAGTAAATTATAGTTGCTTTCTATTAAAGTTGGTACAATAAAGCTCTCTAAATAGTCTTCATTTTCCCATTTAAAACTGGAAAAATGAGTTTGTCCTACACAGGTTAGGAGGGAGAAAGTCCCCAAACACCTAGAGGAAAGGAAGAAGGAAATGGAAGAAATTATTCAGAAACATCCCCAAATAGTCCCTTTGTTAAAATTGCCCTCATTTTGCTTGTGGGTCTTTGAAGTCGTCCTTTACTGTGTTGAAATTTTCCCTCCATTTACTTTTACAATTAACACCAGTTTTTCTCAGCTTTAATAAAGCCATAGCTGGCATCAGTTTCGTGTATTTTCTTCTATAATCTAAAAGAGATACCAGACAGAAAAGACCCAAGCGTTCCTGGAAAGGAGGGGGCTGCGTGGAGAAAATACGAACGTAATTCTGAGTAACCAAGAGGTGAAAGCTGTTATCTTTCCAGAATGAATGAAGGCTTAAAGCCATGTTTTCAGGCAGTAAAACCTGTGTTCTCTTCACTGTAATAATTTAACACGGACAGGATGAAGAGGAGAATTGGAAGTTCTAAAGATGTATCTGTTTCCTACTTATGGTATCATAGAGAGTTTCTACAGAATAGAATGGATTTCCTAAAGGATCACAAAATACTTTCAGTAAAATTGAAGACATCAAGCTCAAACTATTGTT